CCAGCATTCAGCTGCCTCTCCAGGGCTGACGTGTGGCCTTCGGACCAGCAAGCTGAAGCGGAAAACAAGGTCTGAGAACTTGCAACTTGAGAAGATGATGGTTACCAGCCCTGTATTGCCTCAGGGAAGAACAGGAACTACTCTACCATTCTTGAAGTGAAGGTACTTAATGAGAATAGGACAGTGTGGAATGGGGTAAGTGAAGAGAAGAGGATAGAGAAAGATAGCAAGTGAGCAGTGGAGAGACAGGACGTCAGTGAGAAACAGATAGGGTTTATTAACTGTTGATGATGACGTGTATAGGATTCTCAACTGGATTGGTCTGAGAAGTGTTTCATGACGGGCAAAGTATTTTTACAAGCAAAACGAGAAATAGCAATTGACTGTTTTATAAAAATAATTAGAATAATAAAGATAATGATTGGGGAAAACAGAAAAGATATGGAATGTTGAAGTGGGGAGATTAATGTCTCTGTACTGACTGACGTGCATGGCATTCCCTTTTGAAGAAACAATGTAATACACAGTAAAGTTATATGTAATCCAATGTAATATGAAGAAGATATGATGATAAAAAATAAAATAAAAAAAATAAAATAAAAGAAATAGCTATAATTGATGTGTGTTCTTCATTTATTATGCTGACCATGTTTTGTCCAGGGTAAATGCTCACACATGCTTGTTGAATAAAAGGATTTCACATGACTCTTCATTAAATCATTTCTCCAAAATTTGATATTTCTTAACAGTAAACTTCATCCTCTTATTTTTTGTTAATAGCGACTTCTTCACTGAATTTTGTTTTTTTGTGTTATGTGTATATATACCAAGCCTGGTGCTTGGCTGAATATTTACAGTTATTAAGATACCAGTGGGTTCTCCCAAGGAAAATTATACATGGAAACATTCCCATATTAATGATTAAGGACATCTCTAATATCTCTTGTACAAGTCTTCTAATATGTTTGAACCCGACAACTTTTGTTGAAGACTTCTAGATTCATTATATTACAGGGAAAGTTATCTTACAACACCTACGACAGATTACTGACTAAAGAGTTGCCACATACAATTTATACATATGGATTCTCCTCCAAATGATTTTGCATACATTGAATAAGGAGGATTACTGCAGACTCTTTTATATTGATTCAAAAGACTGTTTATTCAATGGGTACCTCCTCAGATGTGTCTACAATTTTTTTAAGAATTATTTTTATTTAAATTTATTTATTTATTTGACCAGAGAGGGACAGAGTGTGTGTGTGTGAGAGAGAGGGGGAAAAGTGAGAAAGCAAGCTGCCAGGTCTTGGACTTGAAGGAGTCTGGTGCCCTTAACCACCAAGCCACCTGCTGGCCCCAGATGTGTCTAAATTTTAAATATATGGTTGAAGACTCTTCCAAATTTATTACATTTACATTATCATGTCATCACAGGTGAGAATATATCAAGTTATTTATCATTTATGTGTGTGTCCTCTCATGTTGCCTAAGGGAAGCAGACTGACTGAAGGTTTTGCCACACAGATGGCATTCATATAGTTTTTCTCCAGTATGAATTCTCTCATGCTGTCTAAGGAAAGAAGATCTGCTAAAGGCTTTTTCACACAGATGACATTCGTATGGTCTCTCTCCAGTATGTGTTCTCTCATGTTGTTTAAGAGACGAAGATTGACTGAAAACTTTCCCACACAGATGGCATTTGTATGGTTTCTCTCCACTGTGCGTTCTCTTATGCTGTCTAAGATCAGAGGGTTGATTGAAGGCTTTCTCACACACATGACATTCACATGGCCTCTCTCCAGTATTAATCATCTTGTGTTTTCTAAGGTTAGAGCAATTACTAAAAGCTTTCCAACATAGGTGGCATTCATATGGATTCTCTCCAGTGTGTGTTTTCTCATACTCTTTAAGAGTAGAAGATTTATTGAAGGATTTTTCACACAGGTGACATCTATATGGCTTCTCTCCAGTGTGAGTTCTCTCATGTACTGTAAGTTTGTAAGACTGACAAAAGGTTTTCCCACAGAGATGGCATTCATATGGTTTCTCTCCAGTGTGAGTTCTCTCATGTTCCATAAATCTATAACACTGACTAAAGGTTTTCCCACACAGATGGCATTCATATGGCCTCTCTGAAGTATGAATCACCATATGTTGTCTAAGGTAAGAACAATTATTAAAGGCTTTCCCACATAAATGACACTCATATGATTTACCTTTTGCTTGATTTTTCTTGTGTAGATTAAGGCATAAGCAGTCACTAAGGGATTTTCCACACAGTTTGTTGACAAAGGGTTTTTCTGATGTTTGAATTAATACATTTTGAGGCAATGCAGAGCTGTGAGTCAAATCTTTTCCCAAATCATCGCATTTAAAATGATCTTCTTGAATATAAGAATTCTGCTTATATGAAGGAAATAAAAGGTTAATGAGCTGCCCATATATATCTGTACATTAATTTTGCTACATCTGAATCCTAGACCAATCATTCAGTAATAGTTTAGAGTTTTGTCTTTGTGTTACTTGCATACACATGGTGTGTTACTGTGCTGTAGGCCAATGACTGTATTATCTAGCATATCAACTGTAGGACTATCAAAATAATTTTAAAGACTTCAATATATTTCAAAAACAAAATATAAGAACAATGCTTATGCAAATATTCATTTTTAAGAAAGATCTCAGTGTATGGTTTTAAAGTTAAGTAAATTTCTTCATCAAACTGAAATTATCCAAATTTTGTCTTAGCAAATACTTAAACACAATTTAATTATAGCCAGGCGATGGTATTCAATTTCTCACATTTCCCATTGCCAGGTAATTATTTGGATGACAAAGGCCACATCCATGGAACTTACCATTGAACTGATAGCTCTGTTCTTCTTACTCATGTGTTGTGTGAGTATCATTTCTTGTTTTTCAGGTGTACTTTCCCTGCCTATAACAACTGCAAAAACAAAAAAGATTACATGGCATTATTGGAATGAAAAGTATTAAGGTTCAGGGGAACGTTTTAGAAACTGGCACTTAGATGGAGCAAATGTGTCAAATGAAGGAATACTGAAAGTAGCAGGAAT